CCAGAAAGCCAACTGTGTCTGGGGCTGCACCAAGAGAAGTGTGGCCAGCAGGTCGAGGGAGGGGATTCTCCCCCTCTGCTCCACTCACATGAGACCCCACCTGGAGTGCTGTGTCCAGCTCTGGGGCCCCAACGTAAGGATATGGACCTGCTCAAGTGGGGCCCGGGAAGGGGCATGAAGATGCTGGGGGGGCTGGAGCAGCTCCCCTGTGAGAACAGGCTGAGAGAGTTGGGGTTGTTCAGCCTGGGGAAGAGAAGGCTCCGATGAGACATTATAGTGGCCTCCCAGGGCTTAAAGGGGGGACAGGAGAGGTGGGGAGGGACTCTATTGGGGAGTGTGGGGATAGGATGAAGGGTGATTGTTTTAAACTGAAAGAGGGTAGATTTAAACTAGATATAAGGAAGAAATTCTTTCCTGTGTGGGTGGTGAGACACTGGCCCAGGGTGCCCAGAGCAGCTGTGGCTGCCCCCTCTCTGGAAGGGTTCAAGGCCAGGTTGGACGGGGCTGGGAGCACCCTGGGCTGGGGGAAGGGGGCCCTGCCCAGGTCAGGGGGGTTGGGACTAGATGATCTTTAAGGTCCCTTCCAATCCAAACCATTCTGTGATTCTATGATATTTCAACCAGACCTGCTTCTCTGTTTTCACATCTGTGATGTTTAAGGCTTGAATCATCCACAATTCCTGACTTGCCTTGTGTTCCTTGTAGCCTTTCCTTTGGTGGTGTTGTGTTTCCCTCAACACTTTTGGTATCAGAAACAAATCACAGTCCCTTCCTCCTTTAGGAGAATGGTGTCTATTTCCAGTGAAGCAGTTTGGAGATCCTTAACCAATGCATATTTACTACATGTTGCAATTCTAGCAGTCTCCCAAGCATTACCTCTTTGACATTTGGCTGTATCTCATATACAGCTTTTTAAGGACAGTTTCTCAGTCCTTTTCAACACTCCCTCTTTGTGCACTACTACCTTTAGCACTCTTAAAGTTCAGCAGTCCTTCCTACTCAGGAAACTGACTACTGTTTTATTCCGTTCCCCCTTACTATCCTCTTCGACTTTTTTTTATTTCACCTCTTTAAATCTTAAAAGTCAATCCCTTACTTGCAAATCCCATTGCTAAAATGGTTACCTGTGTCTCAGTCATTCCCCATCGACCTCAGAAATCTAAGGAAACTTTCCACAGAGGAGGTTGCCCAGACACTTGAATGTCAGGACAATGAAATGCGTAGCAGATCATGAAAGGCTGGTGGCAGATCAGTTCCCAGTACAGCAAAGCCAGAGAACCCCTTAAGCATCAGGGATATAAGAATGGAGAATGTGTTTTTAATGACCCACAGGATCTGATTCGTCATTCCTTTTTCTAGGGCTGGAAAACAGGGACAGGAGGACCTCTGATGCCCCCTCAGAGAAGCCTCTGTGAGGAGGGGAAACAACAGTAGTCAAAGCTGGGATAATAAACCACATAGGAACATGCTTTGCCAGCTTGACTTACACAGGTCAGGACTGCAGTATAGGAGAGGCTTCTGCTGCATAGGCCCGAACAGCAACATTTTACTGGCACCAGTCTTCCTTGACTTCTTTTCGTTGGCACTGGGAGGGTGCTGATGTCAACCATTAAGTTACCCCCTGTAACTCACTAAAAGGTTACTGTCAAGTGCAGAGCTCCTCTAATAAGAAATTAGGGGAGTATCTTGGCCACAAGCAGAATTCTTTCCAAACCCATACTAATAATGTCTGACTTATCTACTCTTTCTACATCTTGCTGAACCTTCAGATATTTAGGTCTGTCTCCGCAATTTGCTAATGTTTGTTGTTCACTTCTTCATCAGTTCTGTTTCTGTTGTATCCATATGACTGTTTTCTGTGTGTAATGAAATGTGAGTGAAATTTGGATGAGAGGCAAAGTGCTCAAGAACAATTCACCCAGTGGCTTGCTTGCCTTTTTTTTTTTTTTTAAAAAAAAAAGAGAGAAATAGACCAGTGTCTTCATCTGCCAAATATTTATCCTACTTTCACAGTGTTCAGGTGTCCCACTGGCTTTTATTTCATGTACTTCCCTGTAAACATCCTTTATGTTTAGCAAACTTGCTTTGACTGTGGAAAATTGAACTGTAAACCCTTTGAAACTAGCTTGTTTTCTTAACTTTTCCTCTGAAGCATTTAACATGTTTCCTAGCAAAGTTTATGATACTGAACATGATTTCTTGATGGCCCTATAATAAAAAAAAAATATTAAAAGCTTTCTGAGTGCCATAACTCAGATATAGTGGCTGTTTGAAAGGATGATGGTCATTGGGTGTTGCTGGAAATTACACATGCCTGTCTTTTAACAGCATACACTGGATGGAGCCACAGAAAGCCACAAATGAATCACATGTCATACAAAAGAATATTTATTCCTAGGCTTCCTAGAGAGGTGGTCAATGCCTCAAGCCTGTCAGTGTTTAAGAGGCATTTGGACAATGCCCCTAATAATTTGCTTTTCTTTTTGGTCAGCCCTGAAGTGGTCAAGCAGTTGGACTAGATGGTTGTTGTAGGTCCCTTCCAATTGATCTATTCTATTCTATTCTATTCTATTCTATTCTATTCTATTCTATTCTATTCTATTCTATTCTATTCTATTCTATTCTAGTCTGTTAAAAGTCAGAGAATGAAGACTTACATTGGGAAGTGTAGTTTTCATCTCATCCCTATATATTTAGAGTTGTATTTTTGTTACATTAACTGTCCATGTTATGTCTAAACCTGAGGACCATTGAATATATGAAGGTCAGTGCAGTACACAGGTTTCAGATTTGATAGGTTAATATGATTCATGAAACAATCTAATTTTAAAGAAGATACATTTGTACTAGCATAGAGGAGTTTCCTCCATGTGCGATTTTAGTATTATGGCTAAATCTCCTATGACTGTGAAATCTTAAGTAAAAAACCTACGCAGTGACGGGTATGTGGCTCCTTGAGCAGCTGAGTCAGCAATTGTCTATTCTGAACAGCTGAGCCCAGACTAATCAGTCCTTCCAGTGGAGCCATTACTTGTCTGTATGTTCTCAGCATCTTGTCTCTGGTGTCCCTTTGTAGAAAGTCCCTGCATGAAGTTTGCACTTTGATCTGGTTTCTCCTGTTTCTTCTTTATCAGTGTATCCTGTGAACTTCATCTTGTGTGTTCTGCCACTTCCTGCATAGGTGTAGATGCATTCCTTTGTTTGTTTAGGACCTGTAGCAACCAAAGTAAAAGGTACACACAAAGATATTTAATACATAACAAAATGATGCCTTAATTTGATTTAGTACCAAGAAAAATGGGACAAATGTAATAAGGAAGTCCTGGGCTTTCATATGTGTGCAATTAATCGTGTGCGAAACGGAGCAGGCAGGATTGTCATCATGCTGTGTTCAGCCCTAGCTAACCTCCCTACAGTTCCAGTTGCTGGTGAGTGTCTCTCAAGGCCTGACAGGACTGGAGATGAATGGGAGACATCTGAGATGAGAAGGCTCAGAAGTAAAATATGAACTTGGGCTCGCTATGGGCAGAAGTCAAAAGGCCACCTTAGATTTGAAAGAGTCAGTATGTATTTATTGCCTCATACAGGATAAGATAATTTTGTATCAGCAGTGGGCTTATTTTGCTCATATAGGTCAATGTAGTTTAGTAATAAGAAGTATCCAATCACCTTGTACAGATACACCTGTAAAATAACTTTATGTTATTGTTAAAAAGAGAAAATAAGTGTTCTTTTTCAAGGCAATGTTCCTCTAGTCCTAAGCTTGTGTTCATGTCTACTGGAGTTGCACATCTTCTCTGAAACTTTAGGTGTGCTAGGAAGGAAAGGCTTTCTTCCCTTATGGGTTATCATTCTGTTGGTGCTTGAAGTCAAGTCTTAATTTTTAATTTAATTTAAACATGTGTTCCTTTTTTTTTTTTTTTTTTTTTACATTTATTTTCCTTGTTTGTTATCCACATAGTCATACATGTCCTACACTCCATATTATTGTAATATCTGAACTTATGTCTTTTCTGTACAGTCTTGTTCTTTGTTTACTGACTGCAAAAATGTACATTTTTGGGGCTTTCGTTTTTTCAACAGAGACAAGAGCTAGGTGCTTCTTGTGAAAATCAGACATGCTTTTACAAGTCCTGAGCACAAGCACTTTACAGTCTCACAAACCAAGTAATAAAGGTGTCCATTAAAACTTCTCCCGTTTCTTCAAGTCAGTTCAGGTTTCACTTTTTCTATTTCGCAGCACCTAGAAGCATGGTTGCAGGTCAAAACTGGAAGAGGCTACAGTCTTTGTAGGTTGTTATTTTTCAGTGTTCCACATCCGTTTCAAATGCAATCATGTTTCTCTTTATGGAAAAAAAATGTACAGATTTTGTACTCTATGGAATAGTTTGCATAGGTAAAATACAAGCTTGGTAGGCTTATGGCTAAGTTTGCAGCAACAGGAACACCATGCGTAAGCTCTTAAACCAGAAAAACAGGGCCAGCAGTACATTAAAGGCTCATGAGAGATAAACTGTTTCAATTTCTCTGAATGGGAAGGCAGCAGAGGGGAAGAGAGAATTGAATGCAGAAGGGTGAGAGGGGAAGCAGGTGAGCTTGTGATTTAAAAAGCTGGGCCATTAGCTCAATAATCCTACCGGTTTCACTGCAGAAAAACGTGTCAACGCATTGTCAGAATTGCTCTGTAATGTCTCACGGTCTTTCAGGACGTGCAGTTCAATAACACTGACCTCTGAAAAACAGAGTGAGGAATAAAGGTATGTGCTCCTGCAGTAGGAGCTCTGTTTTCTGGAACGGGCAATAATCATGTGGAGTTGTCTGCTGGTATCCAGCTGTGTCCCCATTTTTAGATGAAGCTGAATTGAGGGATTAGGGGATTAGTTGGAGCAGCTTGAGAGTGCTGTTATTTGGGCTATGAGGTGATCCACCCCATGCGTATGATTAAAAGAAGAGAGATTAAGGGATCTGGAACAGCCAAAGCTGTTTTATACCAGTTAGAGGTGGACTCCCGTGGTCTTGTAAGGGCTGCTGATGTACAGGTAAGAGGGGGCTGTGGGGTTCCATGGTAGGCCTCTGAAAGTGTAAATTTGTGTAAAAGTCATGTGGCTGAGAATAAAAGAAACAGTTGTAAATTTTAACAGGGTTAATTCTGGGTACTGGACTAAATGAGTGCACAGCTCTGTGGGACACTTTGGTTTAATATGTCTCACGCAAACATAGATTTAGATTTAGCAAAGAGATGGAATCAGGGCTGGAGCCTCAATTCTAGAACAATATCTATGATCTTCACAGTCAAAATATATTTATGTGAATTAAACTACTGTTGCCCAAAGAGAGCAGAACTTAGGAGTTTTTGGTGTGTATCTTAACTCATTATTGCCTGACTTCAGGAGTTTGAGTGTCACTGAACTCATTGCATGGTTGGTATGTGATCCCAGCCTGACCCTTCCTCTCACTGTATACCTCTCCGTAGTGGAACAGGGCTAATGGTCATACTTTGAAATAGCTAAAATATGTTAGGGCCATTGAGAGAAACAAAAAATTTGGTCTATCTCTGCCAAATCCTGACAGCGTATTGGGGACATCCCTCTCCTTTCCACTTACCTGCTCACCTTTCCCCCAAATATGTCATACTTATGCCAGGCAGCATTCCCAGCTCACCCTCTTTAATTCCCTTTGAACTGTTGCAAGTGGCAAAGTTATAGGTGTGTAAAAAGCTGGTACTTTCCATCTCACATTTTCTGCTGCTGGACGCACCATAGACATCAGGTTAGTTTGGGGTTCAGTAGTTCTGGGTTACCCGAGGTACCTGATGTGCTGCACCTGGACATACCTCTTTATAATGGGGTGTTTAGCTTGATTATTTTTCTTTGAAGAGGAAAGGGTGAGACTCTTCTCACGTCCAGCCTAGTGAATTTGTACCAAGATCTGGTGAAAACAGAGAACGCAGTGCAGTAGTTAAATCACTACATTAATTGGATTGGGTGGAAGATGAGCCCAGGCCAGTGACCCCTCAGTAATTTATGCACAGCACAGGTATGTTAACATGCTTGTGATCACTGTAGTCCCCCAAGTCACGTATAACCATATGGGCGTAAAATGCTCCAGGAAAGTAAGAAATAAGAGGTCGAGATTTTCTGGCAGCAGCTTCTGGAAGGAACAGAGCTGAGATCTGTGACTGCTTGTGAGAGCTCTGTCTGCTCATCTGTGGTGAAGAGGAGACTTATTTAAATCTCAGGAAAGTGGAATGTGCTGCAGTTTTGTCCTTCCCAGTCTGAGGGTTAAATTTGCATTTCCCTCGATGTCTCTCCAACTAACATGAAAATAACTTCCATGTGTCACTTCTCTCTTTAAAAATAGTTGGAGTTCCTTCTAAGTTATGTTCGGTATTCAGAATATACCCCCAAAATACAAATATCCCCAAGCACTTGAATGTAGTTTTAATTTATTCATTTCAATATGTTCTTGAGAGTTAGACCTACTCTGTTCTTTCTTCAGTGCTAAAGAACAGCAGTCTCCCAATGTACAACCAGCGTCTTAAACTCCTAACACCTTTCGGAACATTATTTTCGCTAAGTAATTTCACATTTCTGTTACATAGACAAAGAAATAGGGAGCGAGGTGAAGTCCCTTCTTGGAGAGCACAGGGAAAGCTGGTTTTTAGTATGGGTTGAGACCCAAGGACTCTTGTCTCACGTGCCTGGTTTCTGACCAAGACGGCACATTACTAACCAGGCCGTGTTTTGGCTGCTCTGCCAGTAATCTGATCAGGAATATTTGGCAGAAGAATGTAGGAGTTACGCTTCCGTACTTTTTTTGTGAAGAGTTGTGGGAGAGAAGGGAGTTGAACTGAGGGAAATGCAGGAAGAACTGAGATACTGCCTGGAGCTATGGAGAGGAGACAACAAGGGCGTGAGCTAAGTAGCCTGAGCTAGGCATGCAAGGGTGGACTGAAGGTTTTGCAGGGTCCTGCCTTGTTGGGGAAGAGCTGGAGGGGTTGCACTGAGGAGCAGAAGGTGAGGAGGCAGGAGAGGACGGGGCTGCTGTGACGGTGCTGCTGGGGACATGTAGGGCGTTGTGCAGGACCCATTAGTTGTGTTGCCTATGGAAAAATTTATAATGTAGGAACTCTGATTGCCATTCAGAGAAAGAGATGAGAAGAGAACAGGGGTGGCAAGGAATAGTTCTGTTTCTTTTTGTGATGAAGTGGGATTTCAATGAAGGGTGCAAGATCACATTTAGGGCCAATATAGCTTTGCAGGCTCTTTCACCAAGAATATTTTTGTTTCTTTGAAGATGAGATTACTAGATTGTGACAGAGCTGCCTGTCTCCACGGTAGCAGAGCGGGCTATGGAGGGGACAAATGCAAACCCAAGTTTTCATTTTAGCCAACGTTATTTTCTTAGGACTTGCCTGCACTGGGACACTTAGGAATGTTAAATTGAAATAAACTAATGCAAATACATGATAAGTTGTGCTAAACCTCTGTGTGGATGCTCTCTTTCATTGTAATTTGGGTCACCGTATCCTAGCCTACTGTGAAATAAAACTGCCTTTCTTTTGAATGAAAATGTAATAAAGCCTCACTTTACATCAACTAGTTAATTTGTCTTGACATTTTCCTTAGCGTCCCCATGTAAACGGAACCTGAAGTGAAGACAGCACTGGGGCCACATTGCTGGGCAATGAAGATCCCAAGCTTAGCTGAGAGTGGTGTTGAGGTACGATAGGACCAGACACCAACTTCTCTATAGGAAGCCCTTGTTAATACAAATCTAAAAATATCAGCTTCTTGATGCAAACAGTCACGTCTATTATAGGACATTTCAATCTGCCTTTTTGAAAAAGCTCATAGTGAGGCAATTCCAGAAATATTTGGAGGCTTCATATTTCCTTGATCCTAGCCAAATTGGTTTCAGGCCTCATTATGGTAGGGAAACTATAAGACTGTCTGTCTTATTAGCTTACTGGCAATAGCCAAATACTGAGTTTACATATCAATTATCAACAAAAAATAGGGTCAGGAAGTTTGAGGGGGTCCATGATAGACAAATATACTTCATGGGCAAATATATTTCACAAATATATTGGTATTTCTTTCAGTGTAGAAGGTCACAGTGAAAATGACAACTGATCTTGTGTTACAGGATTTATTGAACGATGCATGACGAGGTAGAATGAATACAGAGTCTCATCAATACAAAATATAGAAGTGGCTCCAGTAGTTGGCACAGCTCAGAATTTCCTGTTTTGTGATAACGGGTAGCTGTATGACTTTGAATATGTTTTAAATATTTGCATTTAATTCATTCTGGTCTTTGAAAATATAAAAAGCCGCAAATTCGTTGTGTCAGTGATCACAGCTATATGTACTCTTGCTTACCTAGAAACTAAGAAATGCTTCCCACAAGAACAAGAAATAGGATAATTAAGATCTTCAATCACTTAGGAATGCATTTCACACTTTTCATATCAAAAGAACCTCCTTCTCTTTATCTGGAAGGGCATTCCCACAAGATGACGAATGTAGGTAACACCTGTGTTCAAGAGTGGGGGCTGACTATATTCCAAAAGTTAATTGAGTTCTGAAGATGGAGATGTAAGAGAATAAAAGTCAGCAATAGCAATTTGAAAGATCCAGAGCAGAAGACTCTAGGGATCTGCTGTGTTTGTCATCCCATAGGAGTGTATCTGTCTGGACCTGGATAATATGTCATGATGTTTTCAAGAAAATGTTTCTCTATGTCCTGAGGAATGTAAAATGAGAGGTAAAGGGAGAATCAAGAAATATATTGGTGGTATCTTTAAACCAGAGCAGAACTGTATGGATCTTGTTTGTTCTTTTTTCCCAAATCATTAGTTGCACTCTAGAAATTGAATGAAATTTTTTTCACCAACAACAGAGGAGTAATATTTAAAGGGATTAGTACTTAACAAATAGCTGATGCTGAAATGTTGAAAATAAGTGATCAAAAGTGGGAGCTTCTAACTAAAATAAAATTGTTGAAGTGAAAAAAAACAATGCAGAATTAATAAAAAAGACTAAAGAAATACATTATACGCTGAGGCCACCTACTGGGTGTTGTTGAATTAGCAGAGCAAATGGTAGGAAAACTGGAAGAGTCAGTTGGCAAGAGTCCACAACAAAAGAAGAGAACTATCTTGCTCTTAAAACCCCCAAAACAAACAAAAAAAACCCCCCAAAGAAACAATAATCCAAAGAAAAAAAAAAAAGGCCCGATGAAAAAAAGATGTAAAATTTATGTTCTGGAAACTCAGATATTTTTTTTTACTCTTTAAGACATTTCAGAAAAAGAAACCAAGCTTGTTATGGGGGCTTCTTTTTTTTTTTTTTTTTTTTTTTTTTTTTTTTTTTTTTGTGGCTACCAGTACTCAAAAGGTATGTTATAATTTTTTCTAATGATAACATTGTCCCTTGTGCTCTAATAAAAGTGACATGACTGAGCTAGTGCTCAGAGTAATGCAACTCCTTGGATTCTGGATTCTGCTATCCTAGCTGGAAAGCTTATCTCCACCTTCCTTTGTAAAATCAAGGTAGGTTGTCCTAAAGGAATCTCAAAGACAACTTTAAAACGATTAATTCTGATGCTTAAAACTAGTCCTATTCAAACCAAATAGTAGAGTTCATCCAGGATGGTATGGTAGGAAAAGTGCATTTTTATCTCTTAAAGTGTAGTCCAGGTATTATAAATTATGACTAATCATTATATACCTGGGTGATTCCTTTTGACTTAATCGTTTAAATAAATTTAGTTTCTGGATTTGTTAATGGAAATTTAAGGCAAATCAAAGCAAATCTAGCTTTCAACAAGTGTGCTACTTGATATTTACTGAAACCAACTCTCAAAGTGATTATGCAGTCAGCCCCATACAGTGTAACCAAATATACTCACAAGCTCAATAAGAAGCTTTTATCATTCTGAATCAGGTAAAGTACAGATTGTAATGTCGGTGAACAACTATCTGATATCTTGTCATGGGACTGGCAATTTGTACAATGCTTGAGCATCGGAGAAT